TGTAAAAACATAGGTCACACATTTCACACATTCACTAAAGTGCTTCACAACCCTGTGTTTTTTCTTTCATGCCTGATTCATTTCCAAAGGCCATTTATCTGTCATCCTTCGCTGCAGTTGTATTCCACATTAGCCCGAATCCCACAGAGGGTTTAAGTTGTGTAATAGTTATTCCACATTACAATTATTTTAATAACTTTCAGATAGTATTTGTGCACATTTCTATTTTTAAATTTCAACTCAGAATGTCCCTATTCTTGGAAAAGCTGCCTTTCCATGGGTCCACCCCTACAAGAAATACATTTTTCGCTCTCTAGATAAAGATATCATTTAATTTGTTGAGCCATGTGAGTATAACATGCAGCAAACAGTTTTAGGTCAATCTTGCATAGGCTGCCTGTCATTTATTATGCCTTGTCTTGCACTTGCACTGATTCTCTGTCACACATACACAGAAAAATATACACAAACCTGGTATCTTTATCAGCCTGCAGCAGTGGGACCTCTTTATATAAAGTCTATGAGTGGGACATTGTCACACAGGCTAACAACTTCCAGGGTTGTGCCTATTGGCCTGTTACAGGGTTCTTAAACACAACTTACACCTGAAGTTGTGACAGGGGACCTTTTTTGCTGTGTGTGCAACTATGCCATACCTGTAATACAAACAGTGGAATACCCTCTCCTCACTCCAGTCTTGGGAGTTGGACTCCAAATTCCAGGCTGATGCAGTGAGAGGGACTAAAGAACAGAAGCCTGGAGAGTAGAGGGATGGGGGGTTCGAGGGACAGAGTTGGTCTCAGAGAAGAGATGGTGTCAGGGGTTTTGGCAGCAGTCACAGCAATGATGCATATTGGGCAATCTGGCCTCAGACTATTTCTCTGTTTGAAAGTGCCAGCACTTTCCAGCAGTGCCAGTGCTCCTCAGCCTGTCCTTTGTTACCCCTGTTGTCCTTGTTTGGATTGTGAATGTCTGCTCCCTGTGTGTGTGTGAGTCACAACTTAAACATTGGACCACAGTGGGGAAGCCTTGGATAAGTCTGTGAGGTTAACCAGGTTGACCTGCTGTTAGTGGTAGCCCAGAGAATAAGGGTGGAGGATAGCCAGTCGGGTTTCACAAGGTTCTGATTTCATTTTCTTAGAAACGTGACACAACCAGAGAACCCAGGATGGACATTTACAATAAGCTGTCAGTACGTTTGACTGGTAGATTGATTCATTTAAGATTTATAATTGCTTTTTTCCTAACTGTTTTATATACTGGCTTTAAATGACCTGCAGTTTGCTTTGACTCTGAAAGCAGAGTGTTTCCACAGGAAAGACAATGTCAATGAGCATGGATTCATTTGGACGGCAGTCATATTGAACTTTCCTGTTTTCTCTGTCTCATGCAGTGTTAACTAAGGATCGGCCTTTCATTGTCGTTATGTAATAAAATAGTTGTTTTGGGTGTAGCAAAGGAAACTTATTCCATACACCAGATTGGGGTGCATAGTCTCTCTACCACCTCAATTAAGGTTCTCTGTTTTTTTTCTCTCTCTTAGCAGGATAACTCATCCACTCACACACAAGTTATGCCGTTGTTCATGGAACAAGGGATTCTAACTGGATTATTTTTTAGGATTTCCCAATATAGTGACAGAGAGTGAACATTTTCTCATGAACTATTGTACTTAATTCAAAAAATATCTGGCACATTTATGCAATGATTGTCACAGTGTGTTGTCCAGATCCAGATGCAGATTAAATATTCCAAAACATTTTCTATTATTAAAAAAACAAATTTAGACAATTGTGCAGTCTTGGCAGAGAAATGCTCCCTCAGTGCTTTTGAGTTCCCACTATATTTTGATCATACTTGTTTACCATGTTTGTCTTGGATACAACATCTGCCAATAACTGTGTTGCTTTCTGGAGTAGGTGTAGATGTATTACAATAAGTTGTGTGTTCATGGACTATCCACCACACAGACTTTAACATGATTTAGTCCAGATCCTGGGAACATATTTAATGACTTATACAGTTATCATCTGTTTGGTGTAGCATTATTTACCTTGTGCTTCTGTGCCATCATCCTTATTTTATTGACTGTTTTGGAGACAGATATCCAATCATGGCTGCAACCGCTGTGTGTGAGATTCCCAATTCACTATTGTCTTATCTGCCCTATGACCCAAACTTTCTCATGCAAGAGAAAATCAAAATTTGCTTTATTCTCCAACTTCACCCTCAGCTACCAAAGAATACTTTTCTATCACCCAGATTTAGCACCAACTTTTCGTTTTATTTTTCCACTACATACTTAGGCCCTTTGAGTCATTTTGCCACTGTGTAAACATCTTGAAACAGTGGTCGCTGTGCCCAGTGAATGCCAAACTCTTCCCTCTGTTGTCATCTGTGAGATGTTATCTGATTATTGTTTGTATTTTACTGTGTGATGTAGCTACCATACACTTGACATCATCTTTGGTTTTGTGTTGCCATGGAGAACAACAGTAAATCATTATAAAGTCATACGCAAACACCATTAAGGGGTATTCATTTTTATTGTACACACTCACTACAATTGTAATATTAACTTATTTAGTAGGTTTCCATTTTAACTGTCTTGCTATTAACTAGACACTTACAAAATTATATTCATTTTAAATTTTCCTGAAAAATAATGTTACCAATACAAAGACATTGACATCTGTGTCTTCTTAAATGCAGACTGACCAGTTTGCTTTGTTATTTAAACATGTGGAACGTTCATCGGTGAACATTAACTTTAATGTTTTAGTCTTAAAGTTTGATTATGAAATATTTAGTCAACCATCAAACACTGTATGGGAACTATAATAATGTAGGTAACAGTAGTTGTTGATTTAGCCTACTGTTGGTTTGTATGGCAGTTACTGCTCTGAAATGACTCATTTGAAACAGCTAATGTTTAAGAATAAGATTTCGTATTTGTTGATTGAGCTTTATCAAACAAATCTTTATATCTGACAGGAACAAGGTTAAGCTTTACCAACTGTATGTACAGAGACATACATCCTAATGCATATCTCTTCTAACACAATTTGTGCTTGGTTCTTTTCTGTCAAATGTCCAGTGTTTAAGATTTGGGTGAAAGGGATACATTAGCAGAAATTGAATTTCTTTATCCTAGAATGGGCCCTTTATATTTTAATACTTTATATTTACATCAGTAGCGGGTCTTCTCTACAGAGGCCTCCATGTTTTTTACACTAGCCCAGATGGGATAAACTAAACACCTTTTGAGTGTTTATGACAACTCAAGGCTACCACAGGTTCTCTTTCGTGTTTGTAAGGGGAGGGTGAGGTGAAGGGTATTCAGTTGCAACTTGCAACTTCACCACTAGATGTCACTAAATTCTACACCCTGAACCTTTAAATGGTAAACAATCTCTGTATTTATATAACGCTTGTCTAATCTTGGTAGACACTCAAAGCACTTTACAGTGCAGTTTTTGCCATTTAAACACATATTCTTACAGCGCATCTATGTGCAGCAATTTCTCTGTCACACATATCACACATTAAAGACATAGTCATCCAGTACAATTTGGGTTTTATTATCTTGCCCAAGGACACTCAGCCGTGTGAATGGGGGAGACTGAGATCGAACTGACAACCTTCTGGTCAGTGGACTACTCGCTAATCTTGAGCCACATCTGCCCACACTACTGTACCAATGCACCCATTTACTGGGATCTGTTATGTGGAATAATATGCATGACTAACACAAGATGTCCAGCAGGAGAGCATTAGCCTCAGGCAGTGAGCTAAAGGTGCAGACCAGAGTCACAGTGTTAAACCCAGCAGTTTCCGTGTGTCTGCCTGCTTTACAGCTTAACCCTTCTAAGATCTGCAGCAGACCAAGCAGTGTCAATGGATTTTCATCCTGCGTGCCAGCACTTAAAAAGGCGAAAGCCTTATATGTCAGTGTGCAAAAGTGTTCAGATTTCAAACCCCCTTTGAAGAGTAATCAAAAGAGGAAACAGCGTGAGATGAATGTGTAACCATATCGTTCGCTCTTTTCACTCTTCCACAGTCTTTCTTCTCGTTCTCTCTCGACTCCAATGAAAGCTGGTAGAACTTGGCTCCATATACAGACCTCAGTCTGCCAGAGGTGCTCCAACAGAACAGGAGGCTGCACAACTGTATTTGCACATTTCAATGGAGTGACGCAGAGTATCTGTCTGCACCTGCTGTCTGCCCCCTGGACTTTGTACTCGTCTCATTTCTGTTAACTGGTCTTTTAAATCAGTGAAGCACTGGTGTAATGGAAAAAGACAAAAAAGAACAGCAAGGCTCCAACAGATTTAACACCACTCATACACTTACTGACCACCAGCTACTGGTTACTGACCTGATGGCTTGTAAACTTTGCCTTTTTTTAACAGAAATATGTGAAGAGAAATATGTGATACAATGCTCCTGGAATGGTTCTCAATTTCCATACAAAAGACCTCTAAATGATTTAAGTTAAAGATTTAACAGTCAGAAGTCTGTGAAATTGTAAAAAAGTGTTCTGTTACCTAGATATGGAATTTCACATTTAGTTTAAATAGGTAGTCGAAGAGTCATATTCCACTTCACCCTCTCTAAAGCAGCATTGAAACTAACATACATATCAGTGTATACACAGTAATGGTCTTTTAATAATATTGAATTAAGTAATAATTTATCATAGGCATCAGGCAGAACAGCACACTTTACTAAATGTGGGATGAACTGTTTCCATTTGAAAATTTAGGAAAACTTTATTAAGCATGTTTACCGTTTTCCAGCAACACCCACTGTTATGCACATGTTCTATCTTAGCCCTTTTCCCTTGCAATGCAAGTTGTCTACTGCTGACTCAGAGCAGTGCCCCGAGTCTCTTGGCTCAATAAAAATTATCTCGGGGGGCTGATGCAGGTGGCTGGTCTATGATCAAGTGACACTGAATTGATTTTATGTGTCCCTTTATTTTTCTCTCCTCTCTCAAGTTGGAGCTGCAGTCTTGCTGTGTGTTCCTACCTAATGACAGCCTCCCCTCCCCGAGCACCATCATCTGCGGTGACATACCCGGCACTGTCCGGAGCTGGTACCACAACCAGGCCTCCATGCCTGGGACTCTGGTAGTCTGCCTGCCTCAAATCAGTGTCCTCAGTGCTGGGCATAAGTACATGGAACCGCTGCAGGAGCTCCCCTTCGTGGTCTCCAAGCCCATCTTGGAGGAAGGTAGGTTTTCATTCTGTATCTATTCAAGATTCAAGGCTTTATCTATCATGTACACAACAATTACATTGCAGTCACTGGCAATGAAATGCTTGGGTCACAGGCTCCCTTCTAGCCATGCTCAAAAATATTACACAAGCAAAAAATAACAAATAGAATATAAAAACAATTAAAATAAAGTATTAAAATCTATCTATATATCTCTGGTTGAAAATGGGAGTCTAGGGAAATACATTTCAATGGGAGGGGAAAATAAAAGGTGCTTTTATTAATAGTTTAAATTAATTGTTTAATAATAGTAATGGGCTACATAATGTAAATTCATCATCATTAGGGCTTTTTCAACACTGAACAAACCTTTGGCCCACTACTACTCATTTACCATGACAAAAGACAAACAAGCTTAAGTAGAGCGACTTTGAGAAATAGATCTTACACATGTGGTTTTCTCACCTGGTATAGTTCACATAAGCAACACTCAGAAAGTTGAGCAGTGTTTTCTCTTTAGAAGAAGAAAGAAAGGGCCGCCCCCCTTTTTTTCTCTTAACTCTTCAATGACTTCAGCATTGGGCAAACAGATTTTAAAAACAGAGGAGAAAGAAAAACGACAGCAAAAACAGTGACATCAGCAGCCTTGTCAATGTTGCCGTTGAAATTAACAACCAGAGCTTTTAGTAATTCATTCCTACACTTTGAAAAGCTCTTCATCTTTCATTTTCAATGCTCTGGATCAAAGCCTACTACCCGTGGTGCATGGCCCTGCGCTAACACACAACTTTCCCTTCTCTGTAAGATGAAGTGCTCCCAGGGTGGCATCTTGTCTCAAATCCCCAGTTTTAGAATACAACTTCACTTTACATTGTGTTTGAATGGGACCCTCTTTCCGCTTATTGGGTGAAGAAAGTTTTTTTTAAGCCATGATTCTACTCCATAGGTTGTCTTCAGTGTTTTTATGAAACCTATGTAACAGTTGGCTTAAAGGTAAATGGAAATATAGTTCTACTTGTAATGGTTATACTGATCATTGCTGACTTTCCTTTTTTCTCTTTTTTATTTTGGTTTACTATTACTATAGTTTACTATGGAAACCAAACTCTTAGCTCTCCCTTCATGGGTTATCTCACTCATCCTCCTTGTTTCTCTGCCAGTCTCTCATTTGCAATAATCATGATCATTCTCTCATCATTGCACCCCTTTCTCCTGTTTTTAAAAAAATATATTCTCCTTTTTTTTTTTGTCTCTCATGGCTTTTACCAGGTGATGCCTTCCCATGGTCAATAAGCCTCAGTCAGTTCAGCGTGTACACACTACTGGGGCAGCAGCGAAGCCTGAGCCTACTGGAGCCTATGGGCTGTACCTCCACACTGGCTGTCACATCCCATAAGCTGCAGAGCTGCTCTGAAGGAAGACACTCATTTGTAGTCTGTCTCCATGTTGATCTGCAGCCCGTCCACGTCAAGTGCTCCAACCCCCAGGTCAGCCAGACAGTCCTGAATCTCTTCTCAGTAGTCATTAGAGTTACACATATATACAAATCATTCCCTTGTAAACTTTCCTGAAATATGAACACATGGACCCTGGCAGGAACACCCTGCTTCTGCATGATTTTCTGATATAGTTTGAATCCAATAAACAAACTGCCTCATCCTCTTACCTTGTATAATTTTCATGAAAATGAGAGTGTAAACAAGAGAGTGTTGCCTTGTTTGTTTTGGTGAAACATTTTGAGGTTTGAGTGAAGGAGAGCAGGGAATTGCAAGACTTTTTTACAGTGTGTTGTTATGTTTTGGTGAGAGCATGACAAACAGGGACAGAATGGATACAGAATATGTGTGTGCCCTGGTTAGGTCTCTGTGTGGTTTTTCATTGTGTGCATCCAGGAATGTATTTATATCTACATGTACCATTAAACATATTTAGTTTTTCTGCAATTTAAATAGCTGCATCAAATTTGGTTCCTGTGTAAAGAATTAATTGGGGCGACTTTTTGAGTGGTAACACTGTTAAATGTCTCTAACAACAGTGATGGGCCATGGCGATATTGAAAAAGGAATTGGTACCAGAAACAATTTGAAGGTCTTAATCTGTTAGTAGTCAAGACTTTCCCAGACTTAAGGAGAGCAGGACTGGGGCAAAGTTTCTTTTCTTTCTTCCTCTCTGTCCCCCCTTTTCAGTGTTTGTGTCTGCATGGCAAAGCTGGGAAGGCTTATTGTGATTATATGATGACTCATTATTAGCTTTTGAGGCCAATTAAAACCTTTCTCCTCTCCCCATCTGCTCCCAACTCTTCTTTCTTTCCCTCCTCTGTAAATTTCTGCCTGAAAGAGGGTTATGAGTGAATACCATTTCAAGTCATGCACTAGCTCTTTAAGAACTGCTGCCAGAGCAACTCCACCCTCTCCAGAAAGAAAAAAGACCTCACACTTGGTCTGATTTCTAATTAAATTTGCCACTTGTGGGATATACACACACAGGGATGTCACAGCACAAAAACACACTACTGCATTTTAGTTTTAAAACTCATCAGTTTTGCAACGACTTCTTAGACGTTTGGAAACATTGCTGGCCTGATTTATTTTGAAAACTCAGAGGCTATTTTTTAGTCTTGAAACCTTTATAAATGATATTGCAGACACCCTCATTCACTCCCTCATTGTTTCTTATCGGTCACATTTCCTGTCAGTAGTAGTTTCACCAAGAAAAGACATCTCTGCTCTTAATTTTCACCTTGTTCGTAGTATTTTCTGCTACCTGTTCACATTGTACATTGTGAATGTGATATTTGCAGTTTCAGGTATGAGCAGGGTCAATTTCTAATATGGAGCTAAAATGGTCTTCTGAATGGAGAAAAACTGTGTTAGTATCCCACCAAAATTGTGAAAACAAACAAAGTTCAAAAAAGATATTTGCCATCTCTGCTCGAAAAAAACTCTGCTTTCATTTGGGGAGACATGGAACAATACAACTTACAACTGCTAAGTATATACTCAGCTCCACAATCAGTATAGCTCAATTGAATTATATCATAAAACTGGTGATGCGGATAGCATCACATGACACACAAACTATCTGGAAAAAATCAAAGGCTATGACCAAATCCAAAAAAACCTTTCCCCTTCACCGGAGTGTGACATAAAACTCTCTGACAAACTTAATGAATTGTATTCTATTCTATTTGAACAATCTCTAGTCCCCCATACTCTTCCCACACTCCTTCCATTCTTTAAGACAAACAACAAAAGCAAAGCAGCTGGTCCCAAAGGAATCAAACTTTTCTCAAACACTGTGTATCTCAACTGACTCAAATATTTACAACCATCTTCAACACCTCCCTCCATCAGTGTACAGTACCACAATTCTTCAAGGACTCAACCATAATCCCTGCGACATAATTGACCAATATCTACAACCTCAACCACTTCAGATCAATCGCCCTAACATCCATGGTGATGAAGTCGTGAGCGCATTATACTCTCCCAACTCAACTGTCCCTACTAGCATAATATTGTAAGGAATAAAATTGTAGGTATGGATTCTTAAGATAATGTGCAGCTGATGAGCCAAAAGATTCAGTATTTCATTATACGTCAGAGCATCAGATACCTCTTGATGCTCCACACTCATCAAGTCAATTTTTGACTTTTGACAATGTGGCTCTTATTCTCCATCGTAAGGTCTTGACATGACCAAGACATTTGTAGAAACTGGTGTTAAGGCTTAACATTTGTTTTACTGGTCACAAAAGGTATTGTTAATGTTTAAAATCACGCAAAGCTGCTCAGTTTTGTCATTTGATCTAGTTTATCTGCATCAGTGATTGCTCACATTAATATGCATGTTTTTCCATGGATTTTGTGGTGTCACAGAACACAAGGGCACAGCTGCAGCTAAAACAGGAAATGAGTGTCTTTGAACTAAAATAAGAGATAAAATGGGAGAGTGTGAGAATAAAAGATATTACTAATATCTTTTATTCTCACGCTCTTTTTTGCAGGCAGATTTTAGCACCCACTTACTCTGAAACCACATGGGCCCTTCATCTTTTTTACTTTCCAACACATGTTCCTTTAATTTTAATGCAGAACACCCACAGTGAACTGTCACATATTGGAACAGAGTGGGACAAACACACACAAAAACAAACACACCAGTCAGTTACAGAATGGAGAAACTAATTCCACATATGCCAGAAATTGTGTTAACTGTGGACCAGTCATTCTTCCTATTCCTTAAGACAAGTTAAAGGGTAAACTTAACTTTTAATTCAATGTTAATCTCACTAAATTTGCCTTTAATCTAAATTAACCTCTCTGTCAATGATTCATGTGAATGTCAGAAAATAGAATGGGACTAGTAGCTGCAGTTCATGACCACACTCTCGTGCACACACACACACACACAGCAACAGTTTGCCTTGATCTTGGACAGATGACTGTACTGCATTTCAGTGAACACGCACGCTGTACACACAGCATTAACACACATACTCAATATGTCATTTTTGTGAAGCTTTGATATAAACTATCCTCAAATAAATGTGCATTAACGCTCACAATTTGTATGATTCCCCATCTTTCATCTGTGTGTATTTATGAATGACTGCGGAAGCCTCTGTTCAGTCTCCAGTTTTTACTACTGCAGCCTAGCAGGCCTCCTGATCTGCAGATGACAGTTCTCTGGAGGACCCAAGCCGTCCAAACGTTCTGCTCACTTCCTCTAGTGATGAATTGTGGCATCTGCATTGTGAGCTCATGCAAATGTGTTTGTGTGTGGCCCAACCTACCCACCAGCCTGACAGCAGTAGCTGATGTGAACCAACTGACCTTGTTATACCTTCCAGAAAGCAGGGGTTTTATAAAGGAACTAGATACAAGGATGGAACATTGAGAAAATGGCCGAGGGAAGAGGGAAAAGAAAAAAGGATGGTGTGATAAGGATCGTGAGAAAGACAAAACAAAGTATGAAGACAAATGATGAGAAAATGCACTGATCTGACTCAGTTCTGATACTGATACAGACACAGATAGCTGAGCTCTGGATCTTGGCAGAGCCAGTTGGGTTTTTTTGTGTATCATTTAGCCACTTGTTAGCAACCACCTTTTTAGGACATGTTAAAGCTTACAAAAAAATCATGAGTGAACTTTGAATTGCCCTCGGGGGACAAATAAAGTTGTTTTGAATTGAAATTACTGAAGTATTTTATATTAGACTAGAACAGAAGAGTAGTGCAAAAGCCTTGTATTTGGTTGGACGTCCACAATCCAGAGTCTCAGAGAGGGTAGCGAGGAGTCATAACCGTCCTGCCGGCAGTGCAGTTTGGTTGGGTATGGCCGACAGCTGTTGGCCCTGTCCCTGCACTGCTGCTGGATTGGCGTTAGCAGCTCTTCCTGGATATATTTGAAATGGCCCAGCTGTGATGTATTGTGCTGCTTTTTATTTGATTTATGCTTATTTATGGAAGGCCGCTCTGTAATGTGTGTCCTAACAGACTTGCATGTGTGTGATCGAGCAATAACGAATAAGAATGTGTTTGGAGTAGGGAAAGCTATTTTGTGTGTGTGCTCATGTGTCTGCGGTGCACCTTCACGTTTGAGGGACCCACAGTAGTGGGGGTTAAGGGGTTTCTTGGCTTCAGAATCAAAGCATTTGATATCCAAAAATTTGCTCACTGAGAAAGAGCGATACATTTTTCCCTTTCTCTCCCTGTCTCTGTTCTTTAAAAAACATTGGGTGAATGCATGAATAACTGAAGGCATCACATCACATTCCCCTGCCTTCCCTCATGTTTTCCACTCTTGTTTTTGGCTTTGTTGTTCTTAAAAGCTAAGGCCTCTTTTCATGTGTACACATGATAAATAGTTGAGAACACTTGACACTGAGCCTTCAGTTTTTCCTAACTGTGGTGAGTTTTTCAGGGGAATTGATGACACAACTTAACTTTCCTCTGTGGGTGTTTCTTTGGAAGTTGTTGTTATGGATAACAAATTTGTACAGTGCAGCACATGTATGAGCATGCTGGGCCTTTGAAATAATTGACCATCGAATGGAAACATGAACACAGGTTTTACGTTATTTTGGTGAAATGAGGTCTCTCCAAATGACAAGTACAAAGTCTATAATAGTGTTAGAGAGTGAAAGAAGTGGGAATGGATAGTGGTCCATTTATGGCAAATAGGTCCTCCTTCTTGCTCTCCTCTCTCAACTTAAACTAGGTTTAGTGTCACATAACGACATAGCTGCCAAGCAAAATCATGCTAATGGCCTCAGAAGTCAGAACTACATGAGAACTCCCAAGTGCAGCTGTTTGAGTCAGACCTTGGCAAAAAATACATTTGGATCTACTTTCAAATATAAAGACTACTTCTGGTGTGTTAGGTTTATCTTTTAAGTCACTCCGTTGGCACGGTAGACTTCATGTGTCAAAATCATATTCAGTTGTATTGCCATTGTCTGTTTTTATGCATATATATGTGTGTGATTAGAAATAGTAGCTTGCCTAGAATCCTGTATTACAGTTTTTCTTGCATTACACATTAGATTACATGTGATCCCAATCAATGTAAAGTACATCATGCCTTCAAGATACTACTGTATATCTATCTCTGTGACTTAAAGTTCTCACTCTCTTTTTTCCTCTATTTCTGTCACTCTTCAGGTTCAACTCTTGTATGAGCTCCTCCTGAGCTGGAGCTCTACGTGGGCCCGTCTTCAGAGGCACGGCATCTTGCGTCAGACCTCCAGCATCCCAGAACCCCCTGCTGGTGCTGCACCATCCTCCCCAATTCGCAGCAGTGCTGGCACTGCCCTGCCTGACACCAGCACCTGCAGCCCCTCTGCAGATTTCGGCTCCCCCACTGAGGTACGTTTTCTTCCCAAACCTACAAGTTTCACATATGTACATCTAAGTTGCAGACCCTTGCACCACCATCAAAACATGAATTTTTGTGTCGTTGTTTTTTTTGGTATCACTCCTGTGTTCTGCTCTTATTATAGACTATATATCTATAATGACTACACCCATCTACCAGTCTATTTTTCATCTAATGTGCTGTGAGTCATACAGTTACACATGCATGTATGTAAGCCTTTGTTGTATACATAATTCTGCTGCTGATTTATGGTTTTTGGTTGTAGTTTTTATTGTTATGAGTAGCTGAGTCAGTGCTAACACGTGCATTTGTGTTTGGTATTTTGTTTGGGAAGGATTTTCAAGGCTGGAAAAATCTCCTCAGTGCTTATGTTTCTTTTAGTTTTTCTTACCCGGAGCAGATACCCCAGATACGCTGTGAGCTCTGTTTGATTCATGTAAGCTGGGGCTTGATTGAGAATAAACCTTCCCCATACTTCGGGAAAAAACAATAATGTGTATTTACATTTTTCAGGCATATAAATTATAAAAACCCAGAGTATGAAGTATATGTATATGTAGGCATGTTCAAAGCCAATGGAAAAATTATAGTCAGGGTTTTTAGGGGCAGCAACAAAAGTTGAGTGTTATCTTTTCCTCTTGTCCTCAAGTAATGATGCTTACCCCAGACTTATGTAATATGGCAGGTGTTTTTTCTTCTGTGTACTGAGTACCCTTCAGTAGCGGCAGTAGTGACAAGCGGGATGTCCATGGCCTTGGGGTTGTAGCATTAGCTTCTGTCATAAGTGTATGTTTGTGTGAAGTAGGAATATGGAAGGCATAAAAATATGGTGTTGATGAGTGTTTATTTTCTCAAGTGTGTCAACTAGCCCAGGGTATCATTTGTAGGGCCCTGTCTGCAATGTGAGGCCCCGTGCATCACAGCAAAACCATCCCACTCCCCTCAAAGGCCATAAAGTGTGTATGTTTTAGTTCAGTGTTTAATGTGTCAGTGTGCATGTGTCTATATTTGTTTATGAGTGATCAACATGAATGTGAATGCATCATTTGTAAACCCAGCAAAGTGGCAGCAGTTCAGTACTGCAGTAAAGGCCCTGTGGTGTAATGCGTCTCTAACAATGCCACAGTGACCCCTGCTCACTTGTCATTGTTTAACTAAGTACAAACACTAGTAGAAGTGTTTAGTCCTCTGGGAGGCTGAGTGATTGAGCAAGAATGTAGGAGCTGCTTGATAAATCTCAGCAGTAGTAGTCTCTCCAACAATGTTCCTCCACCCCTTGTCCCGCTCAGTTACGATAACCTCCTCACATTTCTTTTCTTCTCTGCTATTAAATCAAACCAATATTCTATTACACTTTCATTATACATTTGTTTGCAAGTGTTTATAAGTTGATGCAGCAAGTTGTTTATTCTCTTTTTTCCATTGTACTGTCTCTTGTCCCTTTCATGCCACTCTTTTCATCGTTGCTTTAATTTCTATTTTTCATCTCATATTTATTCACTCTTTTCTCTCATAAACCTAAGTCAACAAAATCTGAACGTGACCATAGCCTGAAAAAATGATTCCCTGACTAAAGCATAAAAACCACCAACTCTAACCTGACAACGTCTCCTCTGAAAGCACTAATCATTCACAACATGATTGACCAACATGACTTCAATAAACAGGTCAGGTCTCTGCAGATTTATTCCAGCTCTCTCATTTTGTCATTTCCTTCTTTAATATTTTCTTTCTATACAGCCTTCCTTTACACTCTCCAAACTTTTACCATACCAAAAATATTTTTCCACTCTTTCTTTGACACTTCCCAGCCTGCTGTTGTCTCCCAATGTTTGGGTCTCTCTGATGAGCAAAGACAAACTCCGCAGAGAAAATAAACCCGGATCGTCAGCCCGTTTATAGCGCAGAGGCCCAGGAATTAAATTGTATACTTTACAACTTGGCCTGTGGAGGTGTGGGAAAATAGCTCCCTCTCACACTGTGTGTGTGGGTCTCTGTGTGTGTTTGGGGCCCCAATTTGGCTGCTTAAGAATGTGCCAGAGTCCACCTACACCACATCATCACATCTGTTCCTCAAGGCCTCACCTTGATGGGGGTGCTAACTATGTAACTTTTGCTGAGCTGTGACAACAGCATCCTGTGCAGCCACAACAGGTACTTACAGGATGTTGTAACGTTTAACTGTCAGTTCACAGAGAAAACATAGCAATCACATATACAACAAACAGAAAATTATCATCTCAGCCTAAAGCAGTAATCACACTTTCCACCCATGTCAAGTCTGTATACGACAAATCAAATTACTGTGACCAAAATAATCTGAACCCACAGTAGTTGCATGCTAACGGGTGGTTGGTAGTAGCTAGATATGGTGACAACTCGAGCTGGCCAGCAGTTATTGATTTACCCAATATGTGAATATATGTACGATCCACATCCTGTCCACACACCTCTAGTATGCTTAGCCCTGTTCCTCATTGATTCAAGAGGGAAAGGCTCCTCAATTGAAGGTCTAAAAATGTTTTCTTTTCTGTGGTAAATCAGCTCACAGTATATGAGACTGAGCGTAAAGTGACAGCAGCAGTTCTGGCTGGAAAGTAGGAGCAGTCACATGTTCGATGCTCCAATGTAACCACGCTACAGTACACAGTGGGCTTCCCACTCGTCAGCGGCTGGCTCCTGTTTCCACACATGACATTACAGAACCTAATCCGACCAAGTGGCCAGAACTATAAACTAAATAGTCCTAACCACACACATGCACACATACACACATGCACACATGCACACATGCACACATACACACATGCACACATACACACATGCACACATACACACATGCACACATGCACACACGCAGTGCTATATTTTGACTCCAACTCAGGAACAATTAGTTCTCCAATGGCAGTTGACACTAAAATATCTCTCATTGAGACAGACTGAAGACCATTAGTACTTGGCTCATATTACTCCCTGCCAGTCACAGTTATTACACACACATAAACAGTGCGCACACACACACACACACCTTGACTGTTTGCTTCCATGGAAACGATGGAAACGTAAGATTACTCTGCAAGGAACATAATTGAAATGACTGCTGGCTCTGGAGTTATAAAGTGACTCAGCATTGTTATTCTTATCGTTTGTCTGTACAGAATTGAAGTTTGATCATTTTGAGGAGTTTTGAATACTAGTGCAGTCTGTGTTGTAAACATGCCTGTTTGGAATGGGCTGTATGCTTGGCGGGTGGCAGCTTTTTTTTTTCTGAGCCACAGTAAGTAAAGACCAGCTGTGGGACTCAGTCTACAGAACCCGGGATCCGCACAGCGGCTGCGGAACAAAGAGCTGAAGAATCAGTTGTCGTCCTTGTTGTTGTGAACGCGCTGTTGTCGTGATCGACAATGTCACTTACGTTGATGAGTCCCAGCCGCTGCTGCTTCACAGTGCTGGTTGTACGTTTATATAAAGACACATTCAATTAATATGAAATGCCAAAGTGTCCTTGGGCAAGATGCTGAACCCTGAATTGCCCCTCATTGAACAAAAAGTGCTGCTAATAGATGCACTGTATGAATGTGTGTGTGAATGGGTGAATTGAAAACTGTAGTGTAAAGCACTTTGAGTGGTCATCAAGACTAGAAAAGCTCTATATAAATACAAACCATTTACACAGTATTATTAGATAGATATATATTTAGATATATATGGATATTGTATATTTTTATGAACAGAATTTGGGTATAGCTGTTTGAAATAAGGTAGCACTCTATTCTCCCTGTCTGCAGAGATGTCATACCTCTTTCAGTGTCCTTCAGTCAAAGTTGATGCTTGTATTTTTGGTGCATTCCTTATCTTTTACTTTTTTTTTAGCTGACAGATTTTGAATCTCAAATATTAAAGAAATTGTTTTAAAACTTTTTTAATGTTCTGGTGGAGCTGGTGCATGGAACATATACATGAGTGACTGGTGAGTCTGTAAAGTTGAATCTATTTTAGAATTGACATAATCATTCATTTATTTCTACTATTATTGTTGTCAGCCACCCTCAACTACACAAATTAATTAACCTTCATAACCCCTGCACACACGCACATGCACACACACACACACACACACACACACACACAACCCTAACCCTAACCCTAATCACAACCCTAACCCTAACCCTCATTGCAACTCTAACCCATATTCACNCACACACACACACACACACACACACCAACACACCATACCCCCACTTGGGGAAAGAGGACATAACTTCCTCATCTGGATCCTCTTTAAAACACTGTAATCAGCCCAGCAGCTGTGCTTTCTAATTGAGATGGTTGATAACCACCTCACCAACCACAGCCAGGCTCGATAACCATGACACAATCTATCATTACAACACTGCAATGGGAGAAACTGTGGAAAAAGTGAAATCCTGCAAAACTCCCATATTGTCTGAGTCAACCAGGCAGATATATATTTGGAAAACAGATTTACCAGGAAGAGAGCGGAAGAAATAATAAAAAAAAGTCCCCGGTGCTTCGCCAAACCCCTAGTCATGAGATGAGAGCTCATAGAAGGCAGCCTCCTCTGCCGCATCCTGCTTGCCGCCACCTCACCCCCCACTTCACCCCCCACCTCTGGTTTTCACTTCCCATTCTCTCCCAGGCTGCAAGACGTTTGTGTCTTGGCTCACTTGAGTGAAAGCAGCCCATATGGATGCTGGTGGCTTAGTTTGGGGTGAACATCAGTGACAGCTCCAGACAATGGTCCCCCCCCCCACACATATGCTCAGCTTTGAGGGGAGTTCTGCTCACCAGACACTGATGTCATTTACTCTCCAGAGGGCTTGATTGCGGGTGGTTGCTTTGTTATGGCTACATGCTATGCGACAACACTTTTCAAACACACATCTACTGAACACATGGTCAAACATGCACACAAGCAGACGGGCGAACAAACAGATGGAAGGCAAATGTACCAGTTTTAATTTTGAAACACCATAAAAACTTGATTTTGGTCTTTCCTTGAGTGCTTGACTTACCTCTTATCATGATAACGGCAATGCAAGGTGTTAATCATTCATACACAGCATTCAAGCATAGCATACTTATATAACAACTTGTTTTAATAGATGTGGATATTTTCAGTTTGTAACCAGGATACCAGCCCAGACTAAACAGATCTTGTTTTGACTCCATAGGGTGACTCAGTACCTGCTGCAGACAACAGTCCATTCCCCGACACAGTGACTTTGGAGCAGAAAACAAGCAGTATCGGTGGAACCAGCGGGAAGGTTAGCCTTTGGATGCAGTGGATGTTGCCCAAGGTCACCATTAAACTGTTTGCTCCTGACCCAACTGCCAAAAACACAGGTACATTAACCCAGGCAAAACAACCATTCACTCTCGCAATTTAGAGTGTCCAGTTAACCTAACCACAATCTGCATGTATTTGGACTGTTGAAGGCCCCCGCTGAATTAGGATTCAAACCAAGAAACCTATTTGATATGAGATGAGTGCCAACCACAGTACCACTGTGCAAAGTTAACCAAAATATTAAATGCAAATGTGTTTGTGTCCATGAGAAAGACTGTTGGAAGGTATTCAGTGTTTTTATCTGCACATAAAGGGATCCTCCCGGCCTCTTTTCTCATTCAGTTATTAAATGCTCAGAAGGGGAAATGAGCTGGGGAGAAAAGTGGATAGTGGGAACAGAAAAATAAATAAATGGGCCATGAATCCCAAGTCAACTGCCTCTTGTCCCCTCTAGTTTTACTGGGGTGATGAAAGTCAAGTTTTCCATTAAATTGGTGATATTATTATAATATTTAGCATCTGCCAACCAGATCACCCACCATAAGGTCTTCAATTGTGGAAAAGGATTGTTTTGAAGGACCTCACAGAGATGGTTCTACTTTGACACATCCTAAATAGGCATTACTTTGGATTTTGGCTTAATATGCACCATCTGAGCTGCAGGACAACCTTACCACAGCAGCACATTAAGCATGTTATTATATATACAAGAGTTGTGTGTATGCATGCACACACACAGATACCTAATATCATGCATGCAGTCTTTCAGATAAGTAAGCCACAGATAGAGTATGACTGCAGACAATCTGCTATGATGTAATGTTTTTGAACTGCAAAGGAAGTAAGATTCTTGTCTCATCAGAAAAAGGAAAAAAAGCCATTCCAGATTTAATAGTTCGAGGGTATAATGTTGTGCTATTATATGTTGGAAGGTTAGAAGTAGAAATTCAAGCATGAATCCCCACAGGCTTTGCTAAAGGCAAAAGTCAGTGTTACACTTTCCTTCTTTCAAGATGAGCCATTTAAGACGAAGAGACTAAGCGTTTCCAATGCTCTTACAGGGTGGATTTAGAAAACTCATACATCAATATCAACACCATGTTCTGAGACTGAGAGTTTCTGAGTATCTAACAACTTGGGAGAGTTCTTTCCACACATTATCCACAATAAAGCTGACCAGACTTTTGTTTCAATATTAATAAGCCAATAGGAACCTCTGTGTTTCTTAGAATCACCATAAGGCAACAGTACAACGGCAACCATAGTTTCACACGCATGAAGTCTATTTTCCCAACCTAGTCTGTGATTGTGGGACTTTCTCAGTGGAAACAATGAGAGCCAGCAGTTAAGCTTACAGGCCAGGTTCAATGCAAAGTTAATCAGTTCTTAAAGCTTACTCACTTTGCCTGCTGAGGGTGGGTCTGCTTGCACACAAGGTGCATAGAGGCACACACACACACACACACACACACATTTTTATGAATACATAGGTGTGTTTTTGAGTCTTGACCAGCTTTAAAAACACACTGGGCAGAAACTGACCACAGTAGTTGGATCAGGGCCAGAGGACCTGGAGAGGGTTAAATGCAGTACAGGTCCTTGCTCACAGAAATTAAATTCACACTCACATATGACATTTCCTCTCCTGAATTCCACATTCTATATATGCTGCCTGTTTGCCAAGTGTAAGTGTGGTTATACACCAAGCTAAAAGGGATGGGAGACAATCTCATCTTTCACAGTTTGGTAAACCAAGGATCAAAACACAAATATGCTGCTTAATGAAGGAATGCCTTTACTCTGTGATCCACTACATGATATTGAAATGCAGAATACATTATTTTCTGTCTTTTGTGTGTCTCTGCCAGAGATCTGCGTCATCAGTGAACTTGAAGACCTGAGTGCCTCCGTAGATGTCCAGGATGTTTATACAAAGATCAAATGTAAAGTTGGCAGCTTCAACATCGACCACTACCGACGCAGGTACAGCAGGTACAGTACATCTAGTACATGCAAACTCAGCCACATATATATTTAGGTCATTTCTAAACTTGGAGTAAGCTCAGTAGCAGGATTGAGTTTAGTGACAATGTCACTTCTAACTTAAGACGATCCTGCTTTGGGATCACACAACCATCATGTTGATGTTCTAACCCATGAGTTCTCATTACCACATTATTATGTGACTACTTAGTACTCCTAACTCAGACCACACCCATCTTCAGACCACATCTCAACACACCTTGAGGGGTGACGTGGAAGTCGAGTGGTAAGTGAGCATATGACGTGGGTGGAAAAGCCCTGAGATGCATGTCATCCCCCTACTCTCTTTTGCCACATTTCCTGTCTGTCTTCACTGTGCCCATCAAATAGCAGCCTCAAAACCCAAGACATGAAGTATGAACTACAGAACTATAAAGTTTTGTGACTGTATCTTGCAATTTGTCATTTTATTTTGGTGATAAAATCTGTCCACAGACAAAAACGCAAATAACTTTACTTAAACTAAACTCTACTTAATTACTGTTTTAGTCTCAGCTACAGTAGGTGTCTTCTAGTCCACATTTTGCCATGATGACACACACAAACACAATGCCATGCTGTCATGGCAATAATTATGTTTAACTGGCGGATGATTTCAATTAAGGGCCAGTCTCTCTATCCATGAGGTGACTGGCCCGACATTCTTGTGCTCCCACAGCCCCAGAGTCTACGCACACACGCACACACCCTTGTGCACACACTTTTACCACTAAGACCACTAACACTTGGTCTGTTTCCACTTCTGCTCATATGGGTGATTTTTCGGATTATCACCTCAGTGTCATCGTCATCCCAGACAGCTGTTGTGGTGGTGACCACAGATTAACAGACAGATGGACAGACAGATGGACCAACAGACTAGACGGATGGGTTGAACGGGCTGCGGGCTGGCCCAACTGTGACTCACGTAGCAGAGGAGTTCAGTCAGTCAGTCATTTTCTCTCAGCCTGCGGTGTCTGAATCAATTCACAGAAACATTAACACATTGTTAGGGGAGGAAAACCACTGGGCGATGTTCCACTACATCCTCATGGTAGTCTCTCCCCACGTCAAACTCCACTCAAAATGGGGTAATTTAGCTCTGGGTTCTGAAATTATTAAAACACAGTGAAACTGAAGCTGTGATTAAATATTTCATTTTCTTCCATCCCCCACACATATATTCTTGCCATTAATTAGTGGCCTTATTTTCAATATCTAAATCCCTTTTTCCCCTCCCTGTATTTCGTTCTCTTTGCCTTGATCACATACATCTGTGATGGAGTCAGCAGCTCCAAGTGTGTGCACTGTGTACGTGCCTAAGGTCATGTTCTGTTGGGAAGAGAGGCAAGAGGAGGCAATTCTCCATGTCTTAATCTGAGGAGATAATGAAACAGCGATCTAGCAATCCACCATGTTGCATCCAGCGGACTGGAGAGTGTTTCGCTATGTTTTCAGGTCTGTGCCTGCCTAGACATGTTGCTATAAGTGCCTCCTTCTCTGATTGAGCCAGACATTGACAGGGAGAAGGACCTTTCGGGCTCTGCGCCCATATTGAACTCCATAATTAGCAATCGACAATCTCACCACTGTTTTGAAAGTAAAAATTGATTCTGATTTGCCAGAATTTATAATGGACTTAGCCTGGTCCTAGGCATTTTAGTCCAGGTCAGAGTGGGACTCAGGTGATTGTTTTGGCTTTGAACCTGGCTGTCAGCAAGGTTTTCACAGACCTCCCTGTTTCACTGTAGTCATCTGATTTATCGTCTGTCAGGCCACATGTGTTTTATACAGTATGGAGTACCACCTCAAGCCATGATAATGTCAGTTATTAGACAATTTTAGGGCGTGAAGGTGTTGTGGGTCATATAGTATTGTGTTCTCACAGGTGTGTGTGCAATTGCTTTTGAGACAGAGCCAACCTTAATCACTGTAGTCTACCTCTATGCCTTCCCAAATAGATAATGGGTCAATTTTCTAATTTCTAGGTTATTTCAGTTTAATGTGCATTTAACAACGTGTTCTCAACATACTTTTAACAAACCAAAGTTCTGGCAGGGAGAGACACCCCAACATCCGCGCCAGATTATAGTCATGGCTGTTTAGGACACAGTGGAAGACCTCTGGGCTCAGGGCCCACTCTAATCTGTATCATCCACGTATACAAGCGAGTCCACAGAGGCTGGAGTCCATATTAATCATTCTGAACAGATAATTGTTAGGTATTTCATCACCCAGCCCAGGTTATTTGTGTGCAATGGGTCAGATTAAATCAAACCTGACAGACAAAATGTTTCATCTGGCCCTAGCTATCTCACTTTTGGAATAAAATTGGAAAGTTAGATAGAGGAGGCAAATATGGGAGGTAAATATATAATTGAATGCCCTGTTGTATCAAAAGTAGGAGGACAAGAAAAGGGTGGAGGAGGGAAGGTAATTGACAGAGGAGTTGTCACGGAATACAATATAGCATCATGGAGCAGAGGAGGTAAATTAACGTGAGATAAGGATGCGAGGGAGTGATTGGATATTGAATTCTGTGGGTTTCCTATCCTGTTTGAAGTTCTGGTCTTCTAAACTTCCAACAGCTTCTTCTCCTTCATATTTTGGGCAGGTCTTGCCAAAAAGGTGTACCTTGACCTATTCTGAAATTTAGGGACAACCCCCACCCTACCCAGAGAGAGTGGCGTCGGTGACAGTTCACCTTTTAGTCGCGCCAAGGAGCATCAGACACAGATTGAAGCTGATGTCTTCCAGCTGTTTGGAAATGGCTGGGAGCGAAGGGTGCCTGGATGGGAGCAAAGAGAGAACAGAGGAATTATGAGCTGGTGGGGGGTCCATATGTATTAGTTACTGTTTCAGCCAAGTGGTGAAATTACAGAAATATTCACATAGACACAGAAAGATCTAAAATACAGCATACACACTAGAAAATGATGCATGCAAAACATGCATGCTCACAACTAAGCCCACTCCTCACTCACTGAACTTATCTATGTTGAGGAGTAATGAAGAGGGAGGGGGGAACTCAAAGTGAGAGGGAGATAGATAGGGAGATAGAGAGAAACGTTTAATTCAGATAATAGATAACAGAAATTCAGATATCCAATGGCTTAGAAAAAAGACAGAGATCTGATTTATAAAATAAATAAATACTTAACAAATATATAGAGAGGTGCAATGATAAAAGTCCTTAAAAAGTCCTTAGACGTGTTGCACAAGTATATCATTGTAATTGTGTGCATGAGGCATGAGCCACTGCCAGAGGCAGGAGTGTTAAACTGTCTAATAGCTGTGGGGACAAATTAACTCCTAATCCATTCAGTCCTGCAGTGCAGCGAGATGAGCCGTCTGCTGTGGCTGCTTCAACCTGCCAGGATGTGGTGAACAGGAAGGCTGTCATTTTCCAAGATGGCCTGCGCATTATTCTTTGTGTATCTCTCCACCACAGTCCACAGTCAGTACATTTTTTATCAGTGACCGAGCCAGACTTTTTTATCAGCCTGTCCCGCTGATACCCCCCCCTTTCCCAGCAGACAGCCATGTAAAAAAAGGACACTTACCACCAATGACCAGTAGAACATACTGAGCATCTCATAACATACATCAAACGATCTCCACCTCCTGAGGAAGAAGAGCCTGCTCTGCCCCTTTCATTAAAGGGTGTCAGTGTTAATGTAGAAGACATAACATATGGCATTTAAACATTTTACATTTTTTGTAACTATGTGTGTGTGTGTGTATTTTACATACTGTAAGTGTTAGGTTCTTGTGGTACTGATTGTGTGTGAGTCTGTTTTCATTAACTTCTTTTGATTTCTGCTTTACAGGTACTCTCTGCTTCGATGACCACTCGTGGAAAACTAATGTTACAAAACATAACTTTACATTATTGAAATAAAACACATGTTGCAAATTTTATTACCATCTCAAAGAATGATCTCGAATATAGAGGAAATTGTAATTGTATGCTGAATTTGATGCATGCCACTAGGCTTAGAAAATTTGATAAGAATGTCAGTATCAGTCTGTGGTTAACTTATCTAAATGTGACTTTGTAATTACTGTTGCCATTAAAGAGATATTATCAGGCACTGCCACTGCAGCATTAGTAGTCCCAGATGCCCAATTTAAGTTTGGCCGTGTGTGTCTCTCCAGGCCAGGGCATGACTGGCACTCAGGCCGCTGTGACGGACTCATTCTACAGTGCAAGGAGACAGCAGTGGTGAGGCTTCTGCCTGTGCCACAGCAGCAATAGCAGCCTTAGGCATCTTTTTACAGTGCCTCTGCCATTCTGTTGTTCCTAATCAAGGTCACTCATCTCTGCTGATACTGGACAGACAGGAAAACAGAGGAAGTCTTGATAAGAAAAAAAAGGTTTTGGCTATAACTCTGGTCTTCAACCTTAAAACCATACCTTAAAGTTTTGAGGAAAATGTGAAAAAAACTGAGAATACATTCAATTCCCCTGTCTCTCCAGTGGCTCTGATTGGCTAAATAATCAAGTCAAGAAAATTGGGTGACAACCACTCGTGTGTGTTTGTGTCTGAACTGTGGGATCCAAAACTTAAACCCATACTGGGAAAGGGGTCTTTAGACCTTTGGACCTCACTGGAGGTGTGGGAGGAGACTTTGACATAGGCCTCCACTCTCTTGTTGAAATTGTGGAGATGGTCTTATACTGGAACCTAACAAATTTTTTTTTTTTTAACAGGGTTCAACTAGTTATGCACTGGAATTATGCAGTCATTATAATTAAGCAACTTTTTTTTAATCTTGTATAAAATTTACTTTTTTAATTTAAAAGTGTCAAATGTTATTTATGCTGGATAGTATAAGACCATTCCTCAGTTTTTAATGTATTCTGTCATTGATTTTTCCAAAAATCATCCAAGTTTCATGCTTTTCTTCCTTTTCTTCCATTTCTGTCTTTTTTTCTTACCCTTGTCTATCTCATTTGCTCCTCCTGTGTTTTCTCTTCCTCCTCTTTCCCTCTCCTTGCCTCCAGTATGGAGGATGGTGTTCGGAGCTCAGGCAGCTGTGGAGGGGTGGTCCTCTCTTGCACTGACAAGCTGAACAGACGCACTGTGTTGGTTCGACCCGTCAGCAAGCAAGAATCTTTCAGCCACTTCTCTGGCTTTTTCCCTCCTGTAAGATTCCAATAGTTCTTTTTAGTTGATTCTGCGTATCCTCCATCAACAGTGGCCTAAAAGAAAAGTGATTGAGACACTAGTGCTCAAAATTGAATTCAAACAAGCCTTGTGTTGCTTTAAAATTTTTATCTATTTAAATTTATGTTAGAATGTTTCCCAATGGATCCATTATTTGATGCTTTTAGCAATTCTTCAGTTAATAGTTTTTCTTTTAGTGGTAGGTAATAAGCCCACTGTTAATGGATGTTTTGCAGATTTTACTCTCAAACAAATCTACCTCCTTTTAATCACACAGTGATGTGTGATGGGTGTCCTTTAAGGGGTATTTAAATGATTTTGACTTGACTTTTCTCAAGTATTTTCTTGGCAAATCAGATCTAATTTAACTTTCAAAGTTATACACAGAGGGCGTGCCTTTTTTATTTTGGCTGAGTTCTAAGGTTAAGTTTAGCTGAAATGTAAGTGGTACGTCTAAACCTGGCTTTAGAAATTCCAAATATTAAATATGGCATCGCTGAAGGTAAATTTCTAGCTCTACCAGAAGGGTTTGTCTCTTGATTTGAATATTTATTCATATATGTATATAAATAAAGATGGTTTTTTTTTTTTTTTTTTAGCCAAGCTTAACCATCATCATAGAAATCAGACCAAAATAACACTGAACATTTGAAGGTTGTTGCTCTGTGTGATGACACTTGATTTGTCCTGTCTCACCACTGGTCAGACGGCAGCCAAAGTCCTGGAGGGCTCTCACCAGCAGCATGGCTTCCTGTCAATCACTTACACTCAGGCTGTCACCAAAAATGTCCGTCACAAACTCACCACTCGGTCTGAGCGGCCGACGCGCAGTAGTGCGATGACCACCGATCCACTGGCAGACAGCTCACCTCAGTACCTGAGAGAAATCCTGCTGACAGCCCAGCCTTTTGATGTTGTGCTCTCCTGTCCACTACTGGCCACTGTAGCAGGGGTGCTCCAGGTAGAGAAGACTGTTGGTTCTAAAAACTGTGTATTTGTTGAAAAGAAATGTTTTTATTTTTATACATGTAATGTATTTTATTAGGTTTCTCCACGATCAGGATTAATGTCCTTATTTGAACCAGCCAAAAAACAACAAAACGTATGGTTAAGATCATGTGAAATTATATATACTGTTTACTGCATGTCTTTTTAGGCTAGGGTACCAAGACGCTACAGAGAGCGTGGGAAGTCAGCTGGCCAACCAATGAGAAGCCACACGCTGACTTCTCGCTGTTTGCCTCTCATCTACATCAACACCAGTGTGATCAGGGTCTTCTGTCCCAGAGTACAAGACAAAGATCCAGCATCAGGTCAGACAACCACTTGTCTCGTTTGCAACTACACTTGTGTACATATGGTAACATTTACCAACAATGGGACAGCATTATGTCACAGGCTGTGTTTTCAAGACTGTGGTGCCTTTATAAGAAGTCCCTGTCATGGTTGACAAGACATAGCACAGCCACTGAATTGATGTGGTATTATGCCGAGACATTTGCTAAAAAAAAAAAAAAGGAGGTTGTGAAGAGACAACCACAGTTTTATACACTCCTACAGAATATAAAATCATTGTCGGAAATTCATTCATTCATTTAGTATTGTAATGACTAATAGTGGTAAGGCTGTACTTTTAAGTCCGTGTAAGACAGAGTGCACACAGAACCCAATAGAATCATTTTTTGTTATTCATGAAAGACGTAATTAAACACGTTTTTTTTTACAATTTGATTTAACTTGATTTGGATTGTGCCAAATTATTACAAACATCATCTCAAGGCACTTGACATAGTACGAATGAGACCGTAAAAATTTGAGAAATAAATAGAGAATATAGAATCCTTTTTAGTAATTCATGAAAGACGTGATTAAAATGCTTTGCATGTGTGTGTCTGTGTCTCTCTCCCTGCAGACCTCCAAGTGAAACAAGAGGACACCCTGGTATTAAAAATGGGCTCCCTCAGCATGGCTCCTCAGGCCGATAACCCGCTGACCCGCACTGTGCTGCGAAAAGACATCTACCAGTAAGACATATTCTCTTCTCACTCGTTGACAGGTTAATATATATCACTACGAAGGCAACAGTGGATTTATGGCTCTGTTACAGGGATACAATTTTTTTAGAATAATTCAAGTGTTTAAAAATGATGCATATTTCATCACTCATGACTATTTAGCCATGCTTTTCTAAATGATGCAAAACATTGAAGATCCACAGATGCAAATAATATCCCTTGCATTGCATATTAATGATTATTATTTAAACCTTTTTTTTTTTTCTACTTCTACATCTTCTCTTGTGTTTACTCATGAGTTTATACTATGTGTACGTCCTATTTCTCTAATACAAGATGATATACATTCTAACTGTTGTATTTGACACCTCATCACACTGAAATCTAGCTTAAATCTCACCCCACCTACATACCTTTATCACATTATGCTTCGAAATCACACACACACACACACACACACCACTGTTGTGTGTTCTCTGTTGTATTAGAACAACAGACTTGTGACCACAGTTTATTAAGGGTGCCACTCAACTTTGTCTCACATCAATCACACTCCATGAAACCTGTTTTTAGTGTGGACGTGCCTGGACATGGGTGCACTTTCATTCCTTCATGATGTTTTCTGTCTCATGGAAGATTTTTGGGATACAAAAATCGACAGCATTGCATAGTGGCTAAGGTGCCCCTGTAATGACGGAGAGCATTGAGTGACACCTTGGGGCACTGCTCGGCCCTACAGCTGAAACACAAAACTGTTGACACAAGCCTCCCATGCCATGTGGATCAAAGCTGCTCGGCAGGAAAAATCGAGACTTCTGAGAGAAATAGTTCAGTGCAAAACACATTTCCCTACTATAGGCAACTAAAAGAATCTGGATTGTGTCATAACTGCCTCTAAACCGCAGCCCCACAGCGTGTGTGTGTGTGTGAGAGAGCGAGAGGGAGCAGTTGTGCGAATGGGCAGATATGGAGCTGGCAAACACATGTAATGAGGGAGATAAAAGTGGTGCCTAATGCTTCGTGCAGCTGCAAGTGAGCTGACACAAGATGTAAAATGCAGAAAAAGAAGAAAGGAAGGTGGACAACAAAAGGAGAGGAGAGGCCACTTTAGGCGTTATTTCTGCCTTCAGTTAGTGGAAGTGTCATATGCAGAGAGAGTGCGTAGAGCATGGAGGCAGATGAGCTATAGGCCTATGGGCAATGTGTAACCAACAAGGCAAGACTGAGAGAAATACCACACTCTTTCCAACCATGTCCACATTTCTCCCAGAGTACCCAAGATGTCTTCCTCACAGTCTTTCATTTACTCGTTTGATGTACTGGAGAGAGGAATGTATTGATCAGTAACCATAGCTACTGTTTTGCAGGGACTTTTGGGGGGTAATTTTTTATCCCCACTAGTGTCACAAAGTCTACTGCGCTGAAATGTTTGTTGTTTGTTTTTGTACAAGTTAGCACAGCTAACTACTCCATTACCATGGAGACTGTGTCTAGATTTATCTTGTTGACATGTTTGCCATGTTATTATCATCTCAAATGATAAATGGGGATCTTGTAGGCATGGAAAATGAGCTTGAAGTTTTCTCTGAATTTTATTTTTTTTAAACTGTTAGACCAGCCATGCAATTTCACCCCATATGGTCCAGTAATATTGGTGGCTGTGTGACTCTGGTGTCCAAATAGATTGCTTCACAAGATGCTCAGCCCTGACCTGAACACACAAACACAAACAGCAGGCCTGGTCATGTGTACAAATACACCCACATTCATTCACCCCCTTAACCTCTGCACACAGAAGCCAAAAACCACCACTTCCCTCTCTGCAGTGAAACCCAGGAATTATGTCCGACCGCTCTCTGTGTTCATCCTTCCATTCCTAACCATGCATTATCTCACCACCTTCCCTGTTCACATCTGCCCTCCAATTTCGGATGATCACACTTCTGAGTCACATGATTAAAAAGCCCTGTCATGTACTTTATCGGGGTTTAGCTCTACTGTGTGTGTGCGCGCTCCCCCAAGTTGTATAAAGAAAATCATAGTCAGGGCCTGCAATCATGCAAACTAGTTTGTTTTTACAATCTATAACCAACTGCAGCTATAGGAATAAATAGTTTCTTTCAAGCTTTTTAGCCATTTGTTGCGATTCTGATTAAAGCTCACCACTAATGCCACATATTGTCAAAAGTGAATGACTGACCTAAACAGCTTTGCTCTCTCTGTCTTCTGTACATGAAATGGTTACCTCACACTGTCCAGGATTGACTGTAATAACACCCTGGGAAGAGTGAAGATAAAATAGCAAGCATGTGTAAATATCCTCAGCATATCTTGAAAGTCTTCTACAAACACTTTTTTTGACACTTCAAAACTCCCCAGCTTCCCTTTCAGCCTCAACATGTTAAGGATACAGTGTGTATTTATAATGCAGTGTAGATATATTTCTTCAAAGAAGGCAAAATAAACCAGTTTGACTGTAAGGCTGTAGAGCTAAGTTGATATCCCCCTCCAGATTCATTTGGTAACAATTAACACAGCTTCATTTGATCATGTGATGTTAAATTTTGTTTCCCTAAAGGAGCAGGTCCCCAGGGGCCTCTTTACCAAGCAGGAATTATGACACAGTGCTGCAGGCTTCCCCTCTTTCTCCCTCTTCATCTTCAGCTACAAGGCCGCTGTCAATTTACACAGCTGAAATCATTTTCCTGTCTTGAAAAAGTCGGCTTTTTCCAAGTACATGAGCGTCGGCCCAGGGAATGTCCAGCATGCATTCAGCCCTGACTTTCTTGTGGTTTGGGCCCTCTGTAAAATCTCACAGATCTTTTACTCCCCACTCCAATTTTCTTTCATTGTCTCACTGTCTCTCCTAGTTTTTCCAGTGAGAAGTTTTTTTCACTCATGGAACACTTAATTGAAAGCTTCTCGTGGGCTGGGGCGAAAGGGGACCACTCTTACAAATACCTCAAGAAGATTGAGTTTCCCTATAGGGGCAAACAGACATGTTCAAATTTCTCTGTGGGGTCAAAAGAGTTTATGTATTTGCCAATGTCATTGCCTCAAATTGATTTTAAACTGCAATAACTTCAATCAATTAATGCTTAATAGAAATGACTTATGATAGGATAATAGTGTTTAAAGTATGATGTGTCTATTATAAATAATATTATTTCAGTAGTTTTTATTTAAACTGGACACAAATAATTGGTTCATATATAAATACTGAGTAAATATGTAAGTAAATGTTTGGTATTATTATAATTACTATTAATGAAGCTTTAAATGCCCTAAGGCAATACTATAATGAGCTTGATGAAGGGCTAAAAGAAGGAATACTCCCTTGTCATAAAAATAAGGGAAGTAGTTTAGAATTTGAAAAAAAAGGGGGATCAGATTGCATGTTTCAAAAATTAACACACAAAACACTCTTTGTTTCACTGATGGAAGGGGGATTTCTAACAATCTTTAAAATGCTATCATTCCCTACACGTGGCCTTTTAATTTTAGTGTTGAAACAATATATTTTGATTCAGCTGTCCTGATTACCTTGTGATGAGAAGAGTTTTACCTTAGAAAAGATTTTTCTAAACTGAGCGCATCAGTGCTTATGTTTTTATCTTAAAATAACTTGCTTATTTCCTTACATACCCACACTTAGATGACAAAGCTCTAAATTCCATCACTTCCCCGAGTCACCTCATGTTTTGTCAAAGAGAGACTTGCGGAGCATCCCATGGCTGCAAAGTATGTTTTTTGTTTTTTTGTTTTGATTGGTGCACATGCCTGCATTTCCCTGGTAACAGGCTGCTGTGTCAGTGGTGATGCAGTGCAAAGTCCGTACACGATGTGTCTGTATTAGTCTCTATTTCACTCTGTCCTCCTGTGTGTTTTTTTTATACACTTTTAAAAGTATGTCTGTTCTTGGTGTAGTATTTTTGTACATCTCTCTTTTCTCTCCCTATTGTGTTTCCTCATCCTATGTTTATTTTTCTAGTCTTCATAACTCACTCATATTTTTCTTTCTTTTTAAATTTTTCATGTGACGACCACTACGACTAAGTATTCATATCATACTCCTTTTTAACCTTCTCCCTTGAAGTCAGAAACGCTCGTCTTCATGCTTCAATCTCTTTCTTTCCATTTTTTTTCTTTGTGTCCACGTGTATTTGTTATTTCCTTCCACTCTGGCTTTTCCTCTCTGTTTCCCCAGCGTTGGTTAGACTGGTCCCAGTCCCAGCACACTATGGTCAGTAAGCCAGCCCCTTATTGCTGTTGAATGGTTGCCTGGTTAAGCCCATATATATGTTGTAATAAGTGGTTGTGATGGGGATCTCCCCTCCACAGATAAACACAGCCTGCTGAAGCCAGGACCTAGCCTGTTACTAATAAAATTCCCTGGCAGTACATTACATGCACCCTTCTCCCACAGTAGCATCCTTTCCATAGCAAGGGAAGTGTGGATGGGGGAAAAGAGGGATACAAGTCCCCTGAGAGGTGGGAAATGAGAGAGCTGCACTGTCTTTACTACAACCTGACACTAGGAAAGAACATTTTACTCTTGAAGTGATTTCATCTGATCAGAAAATTATAGGAAAGGAAATGTGTCTGTTTTTTGCACATGGACCTTTTACAGAAAAGCCCTCTCTATAGGGACAGTGTGTACTTGTAAACATGTATATTTTAAATTACAACATTGAGTGAGCTAATTTGTGTTGTGAGCATACTATAAAATTTACAAGACAATGTTTATAAGATATGTAATTTGCAGCTGTGGTAAACTACCCTTCTGTAGTTTGAGAGCAGTCATTACATTCTACTAAACGCTGCAGGTTTCAGAAGTGGCTTTCATAACATATTACCACTAATTATGACTTATTACACACACAACTTAATCACAATAAATCACAATAAACATGTAACCATATAGAGAATATGTGAATAGATTGTTGGGTTCACTTCTTGGAACAGTTGGCTGTAATGGATAATTCAGTTTAAGACATTAGATTTGTCCC